GTTACGATATTAGACGACGCATAAACTAAATCCTAAAGATTTGATTTTGAAGAAGACTAATGAAAATTGTTTAAATGCTGAATATTTAAATTTTAAGATTGATATTATTGACAAGCAAATTTAAACTGATGTTTGCGATAAATGAGAGGATTTTAAATTTATAGTCATTTTTTCAGTAATTTTTAAACTAATTTGTGCTGTAAAATTTTCCAGAAATTTAGTTTTTTCTCAATTGTTTAGAATTAATAAAATCTGCAATAATGGTTCAAAATTTTCACGAGGAAACAAGTAAGTTTTAAAAAATTTAGAAAATAATGGCCTTTCTTTTTTTTGTATTATTGATTTTAAAATTAAGAAAATGATTGAGAATTATTAGTTTTGTCTTCTTTTAATAGGGCAAAATGAAGTCTTAACCGAGTTGCCCCAGTCAAGCAATTCTATTAATGATGTTACCATTTTCCCGATCTTTTTCTCTGTCCTTTTTTTCTTCCTTCTGTGCAAATTAAGGGGCGTTGTTTTTATGTTTAATTCAATTTAGTTGTTATGTGGTGGTCAGTTGTGTAATTTGGTTATTGGATTTTTGTTTCAAGTAAGCTTCTGTGCGTATTATTCTTATGTATTTACTTGATCTTATACTTCTCTATTTGCTTTATGTATTTTATATATTTTGTATTGTATTCTCTTCCAGGACTTTGACAAAACCTTTGGGATACCGAGAGAGCAATTTAGACATTTGTCATGCTCTCTCATTAGAAAAAAGTTTGCTTTTAAGGCTTTCGGAACTGGTACCCCCTGAAGACGCCAGCTTCGGTTGTCATATTTATTCATTTTTTTCATTTTTCATTGTTTCTTTTATATCAAACTAAACTTATTTTTGTAAAAAAAAATTTGGGGGAAAATTAGACTGGACAAAATTGTTCTAATAGAATAATGTACAGTTTGCAAAAAAGAGTAAACACTTATAATAAATTTTAATCTTATCCGCACAGTTTCTGCATAGCTCTTCTGCATAGCTCTATATTCTTATCCGCATAGCTTCCGGAGCTGGTACCCCATGAAACCGTCAGCTTCTGTTGTCATATTTATTCATTTTTTCATTTTTAATTGTTTCTTTTATATCGAACTACCTCATTTTCGTTAAAAATCAAGTTTTTTTTTGGGGGGGGGGGAGATTAAACTGCACAAAATTGTTTTAATTGAATGATGTACTGTTTGCAAAAAAGAGTAAACACTTATAATAAATTTTAATCTTATCCGCACAGTTTCTGATTTTTATGAATCAAAATTTAATCATCAAGTTTCAAGAGTCTAACCTGAACTACGCAAAATAATTTGGCCAGACGGTATTTTAAGTTACGATATTAGACGACGCAAAAACGTACTTTCAGCGAATAAATATGATTTTTATGACGAATTTGTATATTTATCTTCAAAATATGGAGGATATTTTCAATCTGGAATTTATGTAGTTTAAGCAGGAGAGAAGTTGAATTTATGAACCAATGTTGGTTTAAATTTTTGCGTATTTCGCTGCATGTCGATTTTTTTAAAGAATTCAAAGATTTTTTTTTTTCAAAATTATAGAAATCACTTATGTAAGGATCATTCAAAAAAAAAATTTCATATTTTTCTTATGATTATTTACTATTTGATTATTATTTTACTTAAAAACAGGTGAATAATTTTAATTTTGTTCAAATTTATTATTTAATAAAATATTTTTTCCTAAATGATGTAAAAATTTGTTTATTTATCATCTAAATAAACATTTGTTAATATTAATTTTCCTCTGTTTTTAAAAGATCTTATTTACCTGAGATTTAATTTTGTCATAGTGATCACTACCATTAAATTTAATACGTGTCTTTTTTCATCATGTCTATAAAATAAATAGTTATTTGGATGCACAAATGGAACTCATTATTGACCCAAACAGCTGCTGAAATACAAAATTTCATTCTTTGACTCTAAACCACGATTTTAATTTATGGAAAAATAGAATAATCAAGTTTAGCTTTATATCTGGATGAATAATCTTAATCATGTTCAACTAAGCTGTATAAAAGGAAAGCAATGGCTTGAAATTTATAACTTATCTATCCAGACATATAACCTATCAATAACTATTAAAATAAAATGAATTTCTTTTGTCTCATTCTCATATTGAGCTTGGCATTCATGTGGGTAAGTACTATAAAAATGCATTATTCCTTATGAGAAAATTTTTAAAAAGAAAACATTGTTTTCATATCTAAAATTTTCGTTTAAGGTATTACATCAAAACAATGTCCCTATCTACAGTAAGAAATAAACATTAGCTGTAATAAAGAATAAATAAAGAAAGTTGATAATTTGAAATTGTATATATTTTCAACTTTTCAGTAAATTTGATAATAGGATTAAAGGACAGAAATCAAAAATTCTTTTACCCTGTTTCTCATCATTGTTACAAATTTTTTAAGCTCATTTTTAACAGTTGAAGGACGATGCATAACCTCCCCGGACTGTAGCTTGAAGTCCATTGTACGATCCGATTAAGACGAGTTGACGAGTTATGACAAATTTACGAGCCGTCATTGCAATTCGATAGGAAAGAATGCTTAGAATAGTTAATATATGATACGGGACCTGTTTTTAAAGTTTAAAATACTAGTCAAAATATATGTAATCAAAGTTGAATTTATTCAGAAAAAAACTTGGGGCAACCTTCAGAAAATAGCATTTGTGAAATAAAATTCGAAATATATTTAATCAAATTCTCCAAAACAGTGTAGTTGACAAGCAAGTACTCTATTCTGTCATGTCATTCATTCAGAACTAAATCGTCGCTATCTTTAATTTGATTCCCTTGATTCTTCATAAAGTCGGCAATAGTTTAGTAAAACTTAGAGTTTCAATTTTATTAACACCTCGGATTTTTCTTATCTCCTCATTGTGTATACAAATTACTCACGTAATAGTAATTCACGTTCTGATAACGAGTGTTAAAGAACTTGTTACTCAGGCAAATATCTCGAAGATAATGAGAGCTAAAAAATAAAAAAAATTATGTACAGAGGAGTTTCGAAAATAAAGCTTAATGACATGTTTGATTGTTGTTCTAAATTGTTACTATTAGTCACTAGCTAAATACCCGTTCTTCGCACAGCATGAAAAAGTGAAATAAGGAATTAGTCAGAATTGGCCAATATTACAAAATAAAGCATAAAACTGAAAGACAGTTACTAACACAATAAATGAAATTAACTAAATTCTATTTTTCATCGATTATTATTTTTTTCTCGGTGACTTTCCGTTATAAGATTGAGAAAACTCCATTTTTAGAATCCATCCCAGCAAAACAAAGTATATCTATTTTAAGAATTATTCGACATGATGTTGTTGCTCGAAACCAACACATGATTGTTAAAATTTATTATAATCAGGCTATTTTCTCTTATAATTATTTTTTGGAGGCATGTTATAACATGTAACTCTCATTATAACCTATAACATTAATGTCATATAACATTAGTTTAACTCTCCAGTTCAAAACATAATTCTTATTCAAATCATCATTTATTTGAAACTATAGAGTTTTGTTTTATAGAAATGCATTTCAAAAGGGTAACTGCAATTTAAAAATAATTAACTTCATACTGGTATTATCTTTTAAATATTTATTGGACGGAATCAGAGTCGTTAACAGTTAAATTTATAACAATTGATAATGCTTTGTCCAATTAGAAAATTCTATTCATCAAAAATCTCTCAAACAACCAAATTGAAATTTTTAAACGTGTAACGAAACGTGTAACGAACAACCACGTGTAAATTCTTCATTTTATTAGAGACAAGCTGAATACCCGTTCTTTGAATGAGATTAAAAGTATATAAAACAGTTACTGAAACACTATCGAATAATGCTACGAAATCATGCACAAAATTCATAGGCATGTACCGACGCAATTAACAAAGCTAAAATAATTAGATCATTAAAAGCTTATTTTCATTGGTTCATACTATTAAAATAAAGAATAAACTTTATTCAGAATCATAAGACATAATACTGTTTCTAACTGTCAAATCATATTAGTTAAAACTTTCGAAAATTAAGCAATTTTATTCAGTACTTATCTCTTTCGCAGAGCCATAAATAATGCATTTCCACTATTATATTATAAAATTGCACAGTGTTGGGCCAGGTATCATCACCGATGTTATCTTTGAAATAAACAGAAAATCAGAAAACATAAATATATAAATCAAATCAATTCCAACTCTCTTATATTAGATTTTTTTTTATAATTATAAGTAAATGTTTTTTCCGTCATATTTTTATTTATTTTTGCTCATTTCATTAAATAATATAATCATTTTTACTATAAATAAAGAACAGAATATTTATTTCATCATTAAAATATATTTAAGAACAAGAAATAGGGCGAGAATTAAATTTAAAATAAATTGTAATACAAAATGTATTCTCTTTTACATTCTTGCTTACATATTGCATATTCTTAATGTAATAGCATCGTAAACGTTTATATATATATATATATATATATATATNTATATGTATATATATATATATATATATAATTCTCCGAAGAAAAATATAATGAAATTTATTATTTTATTTAGTAATTGTCTAAAATGTTTTGAATTGAATGTAGTATGCAATTATTTCGTCAATATAAAATATATAATTTCACATGGCAAAATTCAAAATTTGATTGAAATTGGTTAAATAGCTCTTGAGAAATCGAAATTTATATATAAGAATTCTCGATTTCTCAGGACTATTCAACAATCCCCACTGAATACCAGTATTTTTTCGGGTTTTTTACAGCGAATTTTAGCAAAAAAATGGAAAATCTAAAATTTGTATAAAAAAAAAATATTAATATATATTTTTAAGGAGAGCTTCATGCGTGAAATTAACTTCTACCCTAAGACGATTGACAACAACAATAATTACTTATTCGAATTCTTTCGATTCTCTTAAAAAAAACAGAGCTATGCTTTTTATTATAAAAAAATTGTCAAGTTGTTTTTTTATAAAAACATTTTAAAAAATCAGTTTTAAAAAACGAAATGATTTTAGCAATTAATTTTTTTCTTTGGAAATAAAGCTGATTTCAACTATAAATATTTAAAATCAAAGTTTAAAAAAACGCAAAATAATTTTGATTTAAAAAAATTATATTAAGCTTGATTTTTGCTTATCACGCTACTAAATTAATACGGTAATTTTGTGAGTTAATGAAATGAATAGTTATTTACATATACTATACAGATTGAGTCAACTAATATTGTGTAATACATTATTGTCAGTACAGTTTCCTCCACACATATTCATTTATACGCATACGTTTTGTTAAATTTTTTTAAATATTATCCACGTCCTATGAGTGTATTTTTCTCAAAACGATTTCCGAAGTATTATTTTAAATTTTATTTCTTTACTTCTGATGTATTTTAACTAGACTGCTGTAACTGGGTGTATTAGAAACGGTAATTGCAAAGAGGATGAATGTTGTAAAGGAGGTGGAGTACAAGGAGTGTGTACTAAGCTAGGATCAGAAGGTGAGGACCTCTGTACTAATATTTTATCACAAAAATAGACTTTTTAATTATTAACATAATTGAAGTTATATCTATATCATTCAATTAGCAAAAAAATCTAATTTTTTTCTACGTTTTTTTCTTCAACAGATTTTCTACATAGCGTCAAAAGGGAAAAGGACGANAAAAGGGAAAAAATACTGTAGTATTTCGTGTTTTCTTTCAAAGTTTTAAAAAAAAGAGAGCGAAATTAAGTTGATAGGGCTAACTACAAGAGGATTAAATTTTTTAAAATTATAATTTCAGATATTTGTAAACTCTTAAATCTTCCAAAACATTACTTTTATTAATTTCGCAACTATTTTTATTTTTGTGGATATCAATATTGAACTTATCTAATTTGCAAATTCAATAAAATACATCACCAAAAGAAAAAGTAAGAAATGTTTGTAACTCTAATAATTTCTGAAATCGGCTTCTACAACTTGGTTGTGCTCCAGTTAGATTAAGCCTAAGTTAAGTGTGAATATAAAAATAGGTAATTCTGGATGATTTCGTGATCATTTATTTACGCTAATAATTTACTTTATTTATTCTGAAACAGTTTGTAGTCCAAAGCAATAATGAGAACAGATTTAGCTTATCTTAAGTTTTAGGTGGCGATATTAAAACGTTTTTGTGGAATAGCTGCACGATGACGCACTTAAACATAGGGCATTAAATATCCTCTCAATAACTGAATTTTAAAGATATGTGAAATGTTTGCAACCAAACGATCACCGAACATGTTTTATTTGCCTCTTTAATGTACAAAGCATTATTTCTTACGTCTAATAATTTATTTTGATTCTAAAATATATTTTGAATTAAAGGTATATCAGAATTCTCTTTAAGATATTTAATTTTTCATTTTATATTTTAAAATCGTTGTTGAGCACACTACCCAATTCTCAGCTTATGACTTTTAAGCCTTGTAACTTTGAGCCCAACCTAGAAGACAAATGAATTCATGGATCAAGCATTGGGAAAAATTAGCTTTCGTGGAAGACTTTTCGATGGAAAAGGAAACGATGAAAATCTACCACGGTTAACCTGAAACCAATGGGAAGTATACCCTAGAGCCGTCAACCAATGAGGGTATTTTACGTCAGCACTGTAAACAGTGCAAAATGTTAGCAGAAGTTAAACAGTTAGCCACTGCTGTGATTCGAACCTAGTCGCCATTCTGGGAGACGAATGCTCTATATACTGACCAATTACAAAGTAAGCAAAGAATGTCTAAAGCATTAAAATAATTTGAAAAAAAAATTCAAATTTGTAAATAGACTAAGAGACTCCTTCTGCTGACTGCACTCCCCAACCGATGGTATTGGTTTTTATTCATGATTGTTTTTATTTACAGCACACCGGCTCTCATGGCATTTTTACTGCAAATTCAACAGTTAATAATTCTTAAAATAATTAGTAAATGTTGTTTTTTACTCATTCGGTACTTGTTATTTTTTTCTACACCTGACATAACTTAATTTTTAGGTCATTTGAAGAAAACCAGTAAAAAAAATTGCGAAAAAGCTCTCAAAATTGAAACAATTTTAAAACATATCAGAATTTCGTAAAACACTCCTGTAAATTTCATAACGAAACATAGATATTTAAATAAGCCAAATACCTTTAAGCAAGACAAAGTATTTAAACATACTTCCTGTACGCTTGTTCAAACACGATTCTATTGCAAGGTTTCTAAGTCTACAAACTTTTGTGCACCAAAACAAAATAAACATAAAGTTCAATACCAATAGCGGTACTTACGAGTTTTTTATATAGAAATATATTCTTGTTGTTTGAAACAGATAACATCTAATCTATACACTGAAAAAATTCATATTTAACAATGAAAATTAAAAATGCCATTGGTGATGTGTAAATGATCATCCAAAATGAAATGGACTAGTAAATACACCTTTGTATACCAGGAATAAGAGTATGAATTATAATATATATTATATTTCATTCTCTCTATATATATGAATTATAATATATACAATGAGAGACCCCTATATATATAAATAGAATAAAAATTTTAAAGCATATTGAAATTTTGAAAATTACTCCTGCAAAGTTCATAAGTAAATGTAGTGCTTTAGGTAAAATACATTTAAGTTTTTTAGCTTCCTGTCTATGTTCTGTCGTGTAGCTCATATGATATATTTTACTCCAAGTTAAACAATTATTAATTACCTAATTATTTATTGAATGCTAATCGTTTTACTTCATTGTAATCGATGTACCTTTTAAAAGACATTCCTATTTTTAAAGATTCTCTCTCCTCCACTGGGATACTCAACTCCTAAATTACAAATAATTCAAGAAATAAAATATTTCTGAAGTAATAAACTTCGTATAAATTAAGACTAGCATCACATTGGAATAAGCGGTAACGAGGAGGAAGATTGGATGCAAAAGCAGCTACTCAATTCTGACGACAGGATATAAAGGTCCCAAGCAATAAATCTCAGATCAAATCTGTTGCTAAGCAGATCACTNCTCTTTAATGTACAAAGCATTATTTCTTACGTCTAATAATTTATTTTGATTCTAAAATATACTCTGAATTAAAGGTATATTAGAATTCTCTTAAAGATATTTAATTTTTCATTTCATATTTTATAATCGTTGTTGAGCACACTACTCAATTCTCAGCTTATGATTTTTAAGCTAAAATTAGCTTTCGTGGAAGATTTTTCGATGGAAAAGAAAACGATGAAAATCTTCCACGGTTAACCTGAAGCCAATGGGAAGTATACCCTAGAGCCGTCAACCAATGAGGGTATTTTAAGTCAGCACTGTAAACAGTGCAAAGTGTTAGCAGAAGTTAAACAGTTAGCCACTGCTGTGATTCGAACCTAGTCGCCATTCTGGGAGACGAATGCTCTATATACTGACCAATTACAAAGTAAGCAAAGAATGTCTAAAGCATTAAAATAATTTGAAAAAGAAATTCAAATTTGTAAATAGACTAAGAGACCCCTTCTGCTGACTGCACTCCCCAACCGGCGGTATTGGTTTTTATTCATCATTGTTTTTATTTGCAGCACACTGGCTCTCATAACATTTTTTACTGCAAATTCAACAGTTAATAATTCTTAAAATAATTAGTAAATGTTGCTTTTTACTCATTCGGTACTTGTTATTTTTTTCTACACCTGACATAACTCAATTTTTAGGTCATTTGAAGAAAACCAGTAAAAAAAATTGCAAAAAAGCCCTCAAAATTGAAACAATTTTAAAACATATCAGAATTTAGTAAAACACTCCTGTAAATTTCATAACGAAACATAGATATTTAAATAAGCCAAATTCTTCAAGACCTTTAAGCAAGACAAAGTATTTAAACATACTTCTTGTACACTTGTTCAAACACGATTCTATTGCAAGGTTTCTAAGTCTACAGACTTTTGGGCACCAAAACAAAATAAACATAAAGTTCAATACCAATAGCGGTACTTACGAGTTTATTATATAGAAATATATTCTTGTTGTTTGAAACAGATAACATCTAATCTAGAAACTGAAAAAATTCATATTTAACAATAAAAATTAAAAATGCCATTGGTGATGTGTAAATGATCATCAAACATGAAATGGACTAGTAAATACACCTTTGTATACCAGGTATAAGAGTATGAATTATAATATATATTATATTTCATTCTCTCTATATATATGAATAATAATATTTACAATGAGAGATCCCTATATATATAAATAGAATAAAAATTTTAAAGCATATTGAAATTTTGAAAATTACTCCTGCGAAGTTCATAAGTAAATGTAGTGCTTTAGGTAAAATACATTTAAATTTTTTAGTTTCCTGTCTATGTTCTGTCGTGTAGCTCGTATGATATATTTTACTCCAAGTTAAACAACTATTAATTACCTAATTATTTATTGCATGCTAATCGTTTTACTTCATTGTAATCCATGTACCTTTTAAAACACATTCCTATTATTGATACCACCTGCCAAGATATTTACAGATTCTCTCTGGGATATTCAACTCCTAAATTACAAATAATTCTGGAAATAAAATATCTCTGGAATAATAAACTTCGTATAAATTGGGTCAGGGCTCACATTGGTATGAATTATAACATATGTAGGATCTATATATACAATATATATATATAGAATTTTGAAAAATACTCTTGTAAAGTTCATAAATAAATATAGTGCTTAAGCTGAAACACATTTAAGTTTTTTAGTTTCGCGTCTACGGTCTGCCGTGTAGCTCGTATGATATATTTTACTAGTTAAACAACTAGTAATCACCGAATTATTTATTGAATGCTAATCATTTTATTTCATTCAAATCCATGCACATTTTGAAAGACATTCCTATTTTTAAAGATTCTCTCTCCTCCACTGGAATACTCAACTCCTAAATTACAAATAATTCAGGAAATAAAATATTTCTGAAGTAATAAACTTCGTATAAATTAAGACTAGCATCGCATTGGAATAAACGGTAACGAGGAGGAAGATTGGATGCAGAAGCAGCTACTCAATTCTGACGACAGGATATAAAGGTCCCAAGCAATAAATCTCAGATCAAATCTGTTGCTAAGCAGATCACTACGAGAGTTTTCAAACATAATCCTAGGGTAAGCGACAAAAGCAGATCGACGCACACTCCTTAAGGATCCTAAGATTTGAAGACTGCTTACAAACTTTTATTTCAACCAATTTCTTACAAGTCATGGAGTGTTCGGGTTCTATCATCAGAGATTCTTTAACAAAACATCAGCAGCATGCAGCTATTGTGATGCAGTCCAAGACAATACTCATTTAATAAAATACCTTCCCGTATTCTGGGATCTCTAAGGTTCAAACTTTAAGGATATGGAAACTGAACACAAGTGGTTTGCTATTCTGGCCAGTAGAAAAGTCATTATTAACATCATAAAGCAAATAATAGAAGACCCGCTGTTCCCTGATACACTGTTCCCTATTCACTTGATCTAAGGGTTGCACCATTTCAACTCAACAGTTCATCGTAAATCAGCTTGTGATTTTACACCTATGGACTTTAGTTCATCCCAAGGGTCTTAAATAAGCTTGACTTTTAGTTTCTTTTTTTCAAGTTTATATGAAACATTTTTAACTGAGCAATTTTATAACAATATAAACCAGCTTTTTTACTACCTATAGAAACTATTTTTGGTTTCATGAACTTAAGCTAATGATTGGATTTAGTTTTTTAATTTAGTTCTTTAATTTCTCTTTGATTCCAGGTAATGTTTTCTTTCTTTTAACTACATATTTTAACAATCTAATCTTAATTTTTTATATCAAAGTTTTTCAAAGGGGGAATTCGCTAAGTCCCTCAAAAAGGGAATGTTCCGGTTGAAACCTGCACCTCATTTCCTGAGGTGCAGGCTAAACTTTTACCTGAATACTATACTTTAGGGGAAAGTGGTGAAATTATATTTTAAATCGAAATATATTCTTGCTGTTTAAAGCAATAAAAAATCTAATCTATGCACTGAAAAAAATTAAGATTTAACAATGAAAATTAAAAGTGCCAATAGTGATGTATAATATATTATCCACCTTGAATCGGGATATATGGAGCCCTATATAAACAGTAACAAGGCAACATGTTTATGGATTATATAAATATGCATTAGGAAACTATATATAAATATATTTTAGACAGCATATTCATACTTTTCAGGTTCATCTTGCACCCTTCGTAAGCACCATGTTTACTTGACTGGTGATTGTCCCTGTCTACCAGATTTGATTTGCGATCCTGTTGATGAGGTAAATGCTGATATATTTTCAATTGATTTTTTGATATTTTGGTTTTCGTTTTGAATGCATCTTTTATCTTAAAAATTTGTTAATGTTTCAATTTTCTTATAAAAAAATATATTAATTTATGTTTATTTTTTTCGTAAAAATTCAAAGGTTACAATTGAGTTAATTTTTTCATATAAATCATTGAGTCAAAATAAATTTTGATGGAAATGGCCTTATTTTTACATACTCTTAGGTATCGACACAATAAAAATAGGTCAATGATCGAACTGTTAAATTTCGCATGAATCTTCAACTCGAATGATGAATTAATTACGGAATTCGAAAATATAACTAATTACATGCTATCAATTTCTTGATATAATTTTGGCAAGCATTGATTAAAAGAATCATGTTTGCATCTTAATTATATGAATTAATTATTACAAATAATTATGATTACTGGTAATTATGATAGCAAGTAAACA